TTTTATGCGAATTAAACGAGTTTAAATCACATAAACACATGCCCGATAAATTAAATCAATTAATTACGTACCTTTGCGCTTCCAGCGAAATTAAACAACAACATACATGCTAATTATTTATTCGAATTTAAAACAATTAACATGCTCGCGTTTAAACCAAGTAACATGCTCACAATGATTTAAATCGATTACACATAATCATATAAAATCATACGAAACAAACATGAATTCATAGGTTTAAACGAAACTCAAATCGAAACTAGGGTTTCGCGTATTTACCTCTTGAAGCGTGAGGTAGGAGCGTTTAGCACGTCGAGATTGCTACGGAAACCAATCCGTACAATCGGGGCAGCAGCGGTGCAGCGGCAGCAGCGGCGCGTGAGGTCACGGCGGCGCGTGAGTTTCACGCGCGAACTTCCGGGCGGCGCGTGGGGCAGCGTGTGGCTTCGGCTCGTGCGTTGCTCCTCGATTCTTCGATCTACAGTCTTCCTCCTCTCGGATTTCACCTCGTATACTTCGATCTACTACAACGTGGCACTAGACACGAAGTAGTTAGAATAAAACGGAAGAAAAGAGAAGGAAAAACAATACCGAAAAAGAACGGCCGATAGACGGCCGATTCCGGCGACGGGGGGGCGACGGCGGCGCGGTGGTGGCCGCGGAAAGAGAGGCCGAGAGAGAGACGGGTCGGCCGCTTAGGGTTAGGGTTTGATATGTTTTGTGCAAGGTCTATAAATCATGTATTTATAGTCCCTTGCATAAAACCCTAGCGGGCTTAAGTTGGACCGGGCCCAACAGCTTAAGTCCGTTAGTACTTTCTCTTGCTCGTCTCTCTTAATTCAATGACCGAAAAATTGCAACGATTACATTTTCGGAATCATTATAATTCCCTCGTCATTACGAGTGCCATCTTTCATTTTCCAACTTTCCAAAAGTGGAAACCCTAGTTCAGTGCACTTTCTAAATTTGGAAACTTCCCGATTTAGAAAGTTCACTAACACGTTCGCCTATTCTTTTCCTTTTCTTATTCTCATTCATAATTCCAAATTACGAATGTTGGACTCAATCATATTGACTTCCAAACATGCAAAGATAAACTATTTTATCTCTGACCGTTTATTCAAAGATCTCATGTGCACGAGCAGTGTGACCCTCGATGGTTCAGGTGTAAGCTAGCCGTGGGCCCACAACCCTTTGTGGTCAAAACTCGTCCCCTTCGAGTTACGATTAAGATGAAGCTCGTTTCACCTTAATCACCCAACGAATCAAGATTGGCGTCTAGCAACTACGCGTCATGATTCCCTAGATACAAATGAAGTGCCTGCAAGAACCTTCAGATATAGTTAACGTACAGTACGGTCCCTTCGATTCATATGTCCCGATCGAACTAGAGGCATTGGTTCATCGAGACCTCTTTATATGTTCGATGACGGTGCGATCGTTCTAAGTGTTGTAATCCTTACGTGCATGACCTAGAGAATCGAATTCTCTAATCATCACTTAGTCAGCTCTGGCCAGAGACTTAGAATGATTACAAACTTTCAGAACACACAGGACATCCAAGACTATTCTAGCGATCGAATCCCCGACTACAATGCACAGACCTCCCACTAGATTTCGGACTGCACGAACACTGGCCCTTGGGATGGTCCTCGGTGGAACTCAAGGACAGGTCACGATACAGCTGGTCCTCTAGTGAAGTCACGGTGATGTCTAGGTCATAAGGACTAATGGTGTACAACTATACCATAGATATCTCTACTCGATTATGGGAACCACTTAGAGATTTCTAGGGTGAGGGAGTTCAGTGAACTCGTCAACTTACGAGCACCCACTTATGCATGCCGATATCACAATACCGTTTACTGATGAGATGCAGTACACATACACTAAGTGCTAGTCTTCTAATGGGAAAGGCCGATATCCTCATTGGTGGCGTAACCCTTCGACTAGGAACACGTTTAACAGTTATAATACTTAAGTAAATATCTCACGATCCTAACGATCAATTACTAGTACTTGTAATAACTGTAAGGACTATATCTATGCTTGTGACAAAGGGACAAAGATATAGAATGCCAAGGTGTTTTATCATTAATACGAATAAAGGTTCGTTTATTACAATAATAAATACGAAAGACCACAGCCACAGGTTGGCTTGTTGGTCACCTACTCTAATAGTGCTTGGCAAGCATTCCACTGATCGAAAACGAAAGAGTTTTTCTGAACACCCATGTTGGACAAAGAAGAGTATATTATTTGAGTTGCCATATTGGTTAAAACTAAAATTACGGCATAATCTTGACGTAATGCATATTGAGAAGAATATATGTGACAGTGTAATGGGAACTATACTAGACATTGATGGTAAACAAAGGATACTGAAAAAGCTCGTTTGGATTTGGAGGATATGTGTATAAGGAGGAAGTTACACTTACAATTTTTGAAAGGTACCAAAACAAATAAAGAAGGTAAATTGAAGTGTTTAAAGCCGCGTGCACTTTATACTCTATCCCAAAAGGAAAGAAAAGGCTTTTGTGAATTCTTGAAAGCGGTGAAGTTTCCAGATGGATATGCTGCAAATATATCTAGATGTGTGAATATCAAGGATGGTAAGATAATCGGGTTGAAAAGTCATGATTGTCATGTTCTATTACAACGATTGCTTCCAGTAGGACTACGTGGTTACCTGCATAAGGATGTTCTGGATGCTATCACGGAGTTGGCAAGTTTTTTCAGACAATTGTGTTCCCGGAAACTAAATGTTAATGTCCTTGACAATTTGGAGAAGAGGATTCCTGTGATATTATGAAAGTGATAAATGATATTTCCACCTGCATGTTTTGATGTTATGGTCCACTTAGCAGTTCATTTGGCACAAGAAGCAAAGATTGGAGGATCGGATCAATATTGATGGATGTATCCTATCGAAAGGTAATTCATTATTTTATTTATTATTTGTCCAACTTCGTTAAAGTTAACTTGGTGTCTTTAGTATTTTAATTTATATGTCTTTCATTTATATATTTTTAACAGGTATCTTAGTAATCTTAAGGGGATGGTTCGAAATAGAGCTCGTCCTGAAGGCTCAATCGCAGAGGCCTATATTGTAAAAGATTGCTTAAGTTTTTGCTCATTATATCTTCATGGAATTGAGACAAAATATAATAGAGAGGAAAGAAATTATGATGGTGAGGAAAATCAAAATGCAACTATCTCTGTTTTTCGAAGTAAAATTCGAACCTTTGGAGAAACAAATTTTGTACGGATGACCACTGAACAATATAATGTTTTGCATTGGTTTGTCCTAAATAACTGTGCGGAGATTGATTTCTATAAGAGGTAATTAGATATTGTTGTATAACATTATAATAAAATTTACATGTATTGATTCTGTTATTGTTTACTTTTTTTCTTTCTCAGAGAGCACGAAGAAAAACTTAAGCAAGAAAATCCTATTGGGTGGGAGATTAGACATAAAAAAGAATTCGCTTCATGGTTTGAGAATCGAGTAAGAACTCAAATTCATATTTCAATTATGGCAATTAATCTGTAGTTCTTTAATTTAATACATGTTATCTTGTATATATTTGATAAATTAGATTAAAAAGCTTCGGAGTACAAAATCCCCAGAAGCTACGGATGAACTTCTTGCACTTGCAATAGGCCCTGATCATCATATTAGTAAATGTAGTGGGTTCATAGTAGAAGGAGTTAAGTATCTAACTAGTCTAAGAGATTCTAGACGAGTAACTCAAAATAGTGGAGTGTCTACAGATTCAGTTCACAAAGGTAAAATGATTAAGTTTTATGGAGTTTTAGAGGATGTGATTGAGTTGAGTTATGCTTATGATTACCGATGTGTATTATTTAGTTGTAAATGGTTCGATTTGGATCGACATAAAGTAGTAAAGATAGATGGTGACATTGTGAGTATAAATGTGGGTAAGTGTTGGTACGAAAGTGAACCTTATATTTTAGCAAATCAAATAACTCAAGTTTTCTACGTTAGTGATACAAGATTAGGTGGAAACTGGAGAGTAGCTAATTTCGTGTGGCTCACTCGCTGGATATGCGGCTGGTAAGTGATTTTTAGGTGTGAAATGACGAAGTTGTCCATCAAAATGTATTAATATATATATTCTTTCTAAATTGATTGTTTAAAAATTAAAATATTATGAAAAATTTAGTAAACAATTAAATTAAAAAATTATTAAAAATTTGGTAATCAAATTAAGTATAAGTTTTTTTAAATACAAAATAAAGAAATAAATAATAATGGAATTTAAGTTTTCTTTTGATGTAGGGATAATTTAAAATATATACATAAATTATTTGATGATAAAAATAGAATTAAAAGATCCCATTGTACTTTTCTAATTAAGATATAACAAAAATTAAATAATTATAAAATATAAGAATTTATTAAATGCAAAAATCCGGGGTATTTGTGTCTTTTTATATTAAGTCAATGCTGAAATGAATAATGGGGCGAGTGTGCTATATAAATAATTTATTATTTTGCTAGTTTATTTATCACATGGAAGTTTTCGCTATTTGAAGAGTACACACATGGGTACTTTTTACAGAAATCAACTATATTTTATATTATGTAGCAATATTACGATTAAACCCCTAGTGCAATAGGTAAAATTGGAGTGTTTGGAGAAACGTTCATGGGAGTCTAAAATATTCCGTTATTACTGACACACTGCAAGAGGGGAAGTATTATCAATGCATACCTTAAAAAATTAATACATACAAGTCAACTAGTTAATAAAATGTATCATTAAAATATTTAATATCTCCAATTCGCCCCCATCAAGTGGGGCCGAATTACATATGAAGTCTTGCATTGAAAATATTTGAAATGGGTGGTGGTGAGATTTATTTGGCCAAACACTAATACCATGTTGAATGACCACATCGAAAGCTTAAGCTATTAGTGAAATGTATCATTAAATACTAATATTTTCAATGGTGTAAGAAAACGGATAGTAATGGGGGCTGCAAGGGGTCTGGCCTATTTGCATGATGAATGTGAGAGGAAAATCATTCATTGTGATGTCAAAGCTGCAAATATATATATGAACGAGGGCTTTGATGCAATTATTTGTAAATTTGCGTTTGCGGTACACATGGACCACATTGTACGAGGAACAATTGGTGGTAATATAGCCCCAGAGTATCGCTCCAAGGGTACTCTTCCGGAGAAAACTGATGTTTATGGTTATGGTATGTTTCTTCTTGAGCTCATCACAGAGCAGAGTGTTTTTTTCTCTTGCTAGGCTTGCTAATGACAAAGATCTTATGTTACTTGATTGGGTGAGAGCCTATATTTGTACATATAATTATTAGGTAAATAGCACTTAACCCCCCATGGTTACAAGATTTTGCAGTTGACCCCTTGTGCTCGTAATATCAACAGATAACCCCTTGCGGTTGATAGAAGTAGAGTCCGTTAGTTTTTCCGTCAAACTTAACCGCGCGTGTCAAACTTTAAGGGGGTCATCTGCAAAAATCAAATGAAAAATGTAAGCACAAGGGGGTCATCTGCAAAATATAGTGTTTTGACATTTGACACCCCCTAGTTAATTTTGACGGAAAAACTAACGGAAGCTACCACCATCAACCACAATGGGGTTATGTACTAATGTTACGAGCACGTTGATGGGTCATCTGCAAAAGCTTGTAACCACAAGGGGGTCAAGTGCTATTAACCCTAATTAGTAATTCCACTGTAAAGTATGCTGTAAGTTCCATCGCCTTAATAACTAACCAAGAGCTTCTCCAATATTGTTATGATTAGGTAAAGACAAACTTAAAGGAGAAGAAATGGGAGAGGATGGTAGATTCTGATATTAGAGGTTATTATTACATTGGAGAAGAGGTGAAGCACTTGATTCAAATAGCTCTTCTCTGCACACAAGACAACCCCGAGAGACGACCCGATATGCCGGAAATTGTGAGGATAATGCTACCGCTTGGAGATGGCTTATTAATTAGCAGCTCAAAGGTGGGAAGAGTTACGTAATGATGAAATAATGAAGAGATCCGATGAACAGTGGGATCTAACGTTACTAGAAAGCCCAAGGCAATTTGAACAACTATCTAGACCAAGATGATTGCTTCGGAGAAAATTGGTTAAAGTTGAGTCATAAACAACATTGATCAATATTTGTGTTTGGTCTATTTGATTATTGAAATAAATCTTCGGATTATATTAATCTATACAACGAGTAGTTATGAAAACTGCATCGATATGCTAAAAACCAATTTGTGGTGAATGAATAACACTAGTCAAAAGTGTGTTGGTTGATTCAAGAATTTGTGGGAGTTTAGCTAATTTAAGCTAGCTATATGTTGTGCGTTTTGTTTGACTCATGCCCACGCGCGCCGCCATCCGGCTCGGTTCGGATTGAGCTTGGGCCCAAATCACTACGTTTATTTTTGGGCTAAAACATTAAGAAATAGGCCGTTATGTTGTGAGTTTCGACTCATGCCCGCGCACCGACGTCCAACCGGCCGTCTCGGATCGGATCGGATTTGGGCTTGGGCTCCAATCATTACATTTATTTTTTGCTAATTAAAAACATTAGGAAATTAAATGGGCCGAACCAGTGCAAACCAATCGGCTCAAATCGAAATGGTGCAATCGATTCGGTCCAACGGCTCTATAGCCGAAATGGGGCGAACCGGTGGGTATTGCACCTTTTTGCTCCAAGGGACACTACTTTTCAAATCCTATAGACCCATGTTTTCCCATAATTCCTAACTTTTAATCCGAAAATCATTTCTCTTCTTCTGCAATTCTAGCTACCTTCTCCAGATTCTCTCGAAAAGTTCCACAAAAAGTACAGCTCGTCGTACTTGGAATTTGGAGTGCTCCTATTCCAAGTCTTGCCGTTGTATCTTGGGAAACGATTTCCGTTAAAGCCGTAAGCACCGTAGCGGAGGTATTTTTGTTTTGAGGACAGAGACAACTCGCCTCGGCAAATTAAAAAAAAAAAAAAAACAGATTTTCGACAACCATATATATGTATTATGTATATATCAATGAGTATTGGTATGGAGATCATGAGCTAAAGTTTGCACAGTTGCTTCAGTTTTCTATATATATATATATATATATATATATATATATATATATATATATATATATATCAAATTGCAATCAATTGGCAAAAACAGAAAAGATTTTCACTGTAACAAGGGAAAAGATTTTGTCTTTCATACCAGCAGCTTTGGATGCTCAAATTCTTTCGTTTGCCCCTCCGTCCATTTTTTGGAGGTAAATTGATCACATCATCAAAAAAATTAACTGAACTCTCTATTTTACCCTTTTTTGACCGAAGTTAACTTTTATGATTTTTTCGAGTTACTGAAAATGCCCTTATAATTTATTTCAGTTACAGACACCTCAATTATATTGTCAATCAAATTCTATGTTTATCAACAAACGAAGGCCAAACCGTTGGGTAAAATGACATGCAATTTGAAGGATTAACACTTTCGAATTAACCAACAAAGAGAAAGAAAGACGAAGCAGAGTCTAAGTCATTTAATATTACGTACTCGGATTCGATGAACCGTGTTTTATTTTAATTTTTGCTTTCTCCAAAGGCTAGAAATTTTACTGCATTTTCTAAATAAAAAAAAAAATGCAAAAGTATATCTAATGAGTTCGATTATATTTAAGATTTCGTGGCTAGCTGCATTTTGTTCTGTATAATTAGCATGCATATGATGTACTGATTGTTCAGTTTGTTCGAACGATGAATTCCACATTATCTCTCTTCGAATCATCTTTACCAAATAATTTCCGACCGTGTAATCACAGGACTAAATGTTAACCGTTCATGCATTAAAACAAATCAAAGTGATTCAGAATGCATAAAAACCGGGATCTATAAAGACAACAAAATTAAAGTGATTTTTCGTCTATAACTCTCACTAGATGTAATTATCTCCATTTCAATGCAAACCGAATATAATTATATTCTGTTTCTTTAAAGTTCGGCAATTCGGACACACTTGTCGCAATCCATTCATTCCGATTCTTGTCGTAAACCTCCAAGCTCACATCCTCCAAATCTCGAAGCCACATCTGCGAGAATTGATCTAATTGGTTTTCGCTTTCCCTCTGCATTAGAATCTTCCGCACACACTCGATATTGTCATTATCCCTTCCGAGGTCGTACCCACCGATGTTTCTCGGACGACAAATACTAAACGCGCCGTTCAAAAGAGAAGAAAAAGTAGAAAATAAACGAGATTGGATCCCCAAGCTCTCCACCACAACATGCTTTTTTTCACAACCGCCGTCTTGAATTATGATGCCCTCATCGTTCTCGGAATTGTCGACAATAAACAAAAAAAAATTCGATTGACCTAACGAATCGAGCAGTTCTTTTAGCTTTTGGAACCACAAAGACGAAGAAGCGCCGTTTTTCGGACGCAGATGTATCTGCGAAGACCAATGTCTAGAACTAGTTGTCGCAAAAGAGATGGATGGGATAAACTCTCCTAGATATCTAAATTTGACTATGTTTGGTGCGTCGATAAATAACTTCGTTTCTTTCAGTTCGTAACAATAGTGCATAGTCAAGACTTTCAGACTCGGGAATTTACATGAGGACAATTGGTCCAATTTCGATTTCACACCGAATAGATACAATTTATTGAGACTACGAAAATCCGCTCCTCTGCGGAACCGAAGGTTACCGAACGTAATTTTGACGGTCTCGAGAGATGGCGGATGGATCTCGATGCTACAACGTTCCTCGTGATCATACGCCAAGGGTTTCGTACAAAAAGAAAAGTTCTTGAGGTTACGAAGATTGGTAATGTTAACGTTCCGTAATCCTTCGCACGAATCAAGAGACATGGTTTCGATAGCCGCAAAAGGAAAAATCGAGATTGCCTTGTGAAAAACTTCGTCCCGAATGTAGATTTTTTCGAGATGAAGTTTTTTCAGATGCTTAGAGAATACTATCCTTCCGTACTCCTTTTCGTCCGACGTGCATATTTCTACGTGCAAATCTTCAAGCGATCGAGCTTCAAAAACTACGGGAGGCACATAGTAAACAAAGCCATTCTCCGTACGATTAGAGAGACGGAACTTCTTCGTGCCGATAACCGTGAGTGTTCGAATCCATTTTTCAAGAAGATAATAAGATTCGTGATTCAAATAGCCTTTCGATATACGGAGATGAAATTCATCCACGCACAACCTTTGATCATAGTATCGTTGCAAATTCTTGTCAATAACATCTACAAATTCTTGTTTGTTACCTTTGAAGGCGGCGTCTGAGAAATTAAGAACGGGGCGAGTGCACCAAATGTAACGCCAGGGTTTGGACAAGACAGATGTTCGGACAGCCTCTTCTTGGGTGAGGAAATACATAATTCTGTGCAAGATGTCTTTCGGCAACTCGGATATTGTGTCCACTGAGTCGGAACTCGTGTGTTCGCCTTTTGCCTTTTTCATGTTAATGAACGATTCAGAAATATTTTTCCACCTGAATAAAACCCTAACGAAAGTGTTAATGTAATTTGAAGGTTTTGTTGATGGGTTCAAGTTATATATTGATATTCCGATTAATTAGTTTCTATTATTTAAATTTTCCTTTTCTTTAGGATTTCTTATGATTCACATTAAATTCCGTCTTGTATTTATATTCTAAGTTATTGCATGAAAGTTTTCCATTGTCCCTAGTTCATAAAGACTACCTTATTAATAATAATAATAATAATAATAATAATAATAATAATAATAATAATAATAATAATAATAATAATAATAATAATAATAATAAGATACATATTAGGGAAGAAGTCGAAGAGGGCTCCTTAGACCCTACACCCGCTGAAAAACATCGGGTGTGTCTTCTGCTGTCACGTGTCATTTTTTGTATTTTCTAAAACCCCTAAAGGTTAAAATGCAAAAAAGTCGACGTGGCAGCAGAATACCCACCTGGTGTTTATCACCGGGTGTAGGGTCGAAGAAGTTGAAGAACATGTAACACTAAATCAACAGGATTTATAAGTGAAAAAAATTAATTTGGAGGATAAAAGAAAATAAGAAATAAAAAATATGAAGAAAAAGAAACAAGAGATGCACAATATTAATTAATATTTTCTTGCAATTGGAGATTTTGTACACTGAGATTACAGATTTATGTTTTGACTAACTGCAATAAAATGGCTTTGCCTAAACTGCCTGGATTTTTTCTTTCACTGCAAATTATATGGGAAAGGAAAAATATATAGTGATTCTCTATTTCTTTTCTTTTTCTTGGTCTGCCTATTTGACTGGATTAATTGATATTTCATATGAAATTGTAATTAATTAAATAAGAAACGATATTGTAATTAAGTGTGCGCAAAATTAATAACCCGTCACGTACATTTTTGCGCAAGATTAATAACCGGTCATGTACATTACTTGCGCTAATTAAAAACGATAACATGTACGCACATTTCTTGCGCAAATTAAAACTAATAACATGTTACGTACATTTCTTGCGCGAAATTAATAACATGCTACATACATTTCTTGCGCAAAATTAAAAACCCGTTATTTACATTTCTTGCGCTAATTTTGCGATAGATGAAAACATATAATGCATAAATATAGTTCATGTTAATAGTACTTGTGTTCTATTTGGATTTTATTTTGTTACAAGGAACATCTTATTCTTTCATTTTCTAATTTACAAAACTATTTTGAACTTTTTTCATTATTCTCAATTTATATATTTTGTTAATTTATAACACTTCTAATTAATTTATTTAACAACGATATTGATGGAGAATTGAATATATTTCAAAAAAACAAAGTAGTAAGAAAAATTACATTTATCATTCAAGTTATACATACTCTACATTCAATAAGTATGTAGCAAATTACAAAGAAGTATACATATTTATATATATGTCTATTATTAATTATTAATATTGCGGAGATCTTGAGGTACGTAATGCTTCAACCAAACATCTCTGCCTCTTATCTTCACTCTTACAACCTCGTTGTTGCCCATTATTATTCTCGGCAGATCGACCATCTTGAAAGTGATCTTCCCGAACTTCTGTTGTTGAACCACATACACGTGCGCCACCACATCTCCGTATTCTCTGTCACGAGCAAAATAATAAATCACATTGTAATTAATAGATAAATAATCAAATTATATATATATATATATATATATATATATATATATAACTCCAAAATGAATTACCTAGTAAAATGGTTGGAAATCTCCCGCCACGTGAGAGGTGCATCGCTCGAGAAGGTCATGAACAACGACCTTTCGTCTCGTAGTGCACGTTCCCTTTTCGGTATATAAGGTCTTGCATTTGAGTTTAACGGATTCATTTTCACGGTGGTGCAATGGTGGTGAAGTGGTGGTGGTGGTGGTGGCGGCTTAATATAATAGTGGAGGAGAAAATCCAGTGCTTATTATTTAATTATATACTTGATAGGAATTTTTATGGAAATTAAATGTATAATTAGATGGTGCAGATTTTGTGTAACAAATATTGATAATTATTTAATTTTTAAAATAGTTACTAAATTGTCTGGATTTTTCATTGACTGGTCAATGGTAGTATTTTTGCCTACTACATAATGGAAGATACGTAATATGAGATTATGTACTTAATAGTTAATACTGAATGGACAAAATAAAAAAAATAAAAAAAGTGATAGAGCTTACTTTGATAAATTTCGATATTGTGTTGTTATTGCGCATAATATTCTACGTACGTACGCTCGAATATGTTTTAAATATGAAACGATTAATAACTAATTAAGCGCAATAAAACCTCATAATTTGCGCTAGTATAGCGAATAAACTACGCGGTGTATGTACGTTCGTACTTTTGATTTATACGTACATTGATTAATCTTGATGAATATTCGTAATATAGAAAAAAAAAAACCAGGCGCTATAACAACTCACAATTTGCGCTACTACTGCGCATAAACTGCGTATATATACACTCGTCGACTTTGAATATATATATATATATATATATATATATATATATATATGTATATATATATATATATATATATATGTATATATATATATATATATATATATATATATATATATATATATATATATATATATATATATATATATATATATATATATATATATATATATATATATAAAATATCCAATTGTAATTAAAAGAGAAAAAGAAATAAACCCAAAAAATAAAGAACCCAATTCCATTAATTTGTAAACGTGTAGCATGTTTAGTGGGATCCGATTATGTCCCATTAACAGCACATTTGTTCGGAATTTAATCTCGTCACTGTGATCTTTTTATTGCGTAAAACCCTCATGTATTTCATTTTTACTTGCATGAAATCCCCATTTCCGTTAATAGTTAACACTGTTAACTATAGAGGGAATTTTATGCATGTTTTTTGCAATATAGGTGAATTTATTCATTTAAAATTCAAATTATTTTCTTAAATTAAGTCGAATACATCTATTAATTTAAAATATGAAAATTAAGCTAATAATATTCGAGTTGGAAGTCGGAACAAATTCTCAAAATTTTTATGTTCTTTTCACATATAACTAATCCACAATAAATTATAAAAATATATAATAATTCTAATAAAATAATTATATATTTTAAAAAATCAAAACTTTTAAATACATTAATAAATTTTATCATGTAAAAATTGTGTTTTTCTGAAAAAACATTCATATCACCTATTAAATTTCTATTTTTTCATATTGCAACTGGATAAATGTGTTCGAGTACTTAATCTAACAAAATAATATGAAATTTAAAAGAATAAACTAATTTTGCATAAAATACCCTTGTATTTTGCAATTTTTGTATTGTAGAAAATATGCACTTAATCCCCTACGTTATGAGAAATTGCATAAAATCCCCTCTATAGTTAACGACATTAACTTTTAACAGAAAAGGGGATTTCGTGCAAAGTAAAATGAAATACAAGGGGGTTTTATACGCAAGAAAAAAAACACAAGGGGGTATTTGATTTCCTTAACACGGGGTTTTTTTTATGCTGTTTACCACAGATACATAAAGTATACATAATTAAAATACAAAATGTAATATACTTTTAATTTGTAAATATAACGTGAAATAATTACTTTATCAAATATTTTGGTCAAAGTCGTAGTTATCGGAATTATTCCGAATATCGAAATTGGATCAACAATCGGAAATATTCAAAAATATATTTATTATTCCAATTTAGATCCAAATAAATTCGATACTGGGATGAAGATCGTAATCCAAAGTTAAAAAAATGAATTAGAATCGGCGAATTTCAGAAATTCCGTTCTGACTTGCACCAACATGCCACGCATAACAGCAATAGTTTGATAGGGATAATTGGGAATCACTCAACTATTGGTAGCGAACTCACTTAACGCGACTAACCACGGTCTGTTTGGTCATGTGTTCGAGTCACCCAAAGGAAAATTGAGGAACTATCCTCCTTTGCAGAGAAAAAAAAAAGACAAACATTACTAATGAAGGATTCACTCCACACGACTTCACTACTAGTAGAGAGGAATCATTCACTCCAAATGCCAAAAAACCTCTCAAGTATATTTACATAATTATAGGAAAAAAAAAAAAGAACTGGTAACTAAATGTCAACTAAGGCTCCTTCGACCCTACACCCGGTGAAAAACACCGGGTGGGTCTTCTGCTGCCACGTGTCTTTTTTTTTTTTTTTTTTTTTCTTAAACCCCTAAAGGTAAACCCTAGCGAGGAATATATTATAAAATACAAAAAAGAGTTACATGGCAGCAGAAGACCCACACGGTGTTTTTCACCGGGTGTAGGGTCGAACAAATCTGTCGACTAAATGCTTTTACAGAAAAATATATAATGTCTATAGTGTCTCTAAATCAAAGTTTAAAAAAAAATTATAAATATTTCCAGAACCCCACATGGTCGAATTTAAAAAAACTCCTCAAATATATATCCATTATTACTAAAGAAATCCCCCTAAGGTTTCAATCTAACAATTGCTCCTTTTTTTTTGTTGCAAACTTCGATCTATAGTCAAATTACGAAAACCCCCTTTATGTTTGGGTAATTACAACCACCCCCCTCAACTATGTATTTATCTTACGAATAGACCCTTCCAGAGGTAAATTTAGGGATGTTTATTCGGTAAAACCAGACCAAAAATTCGGTACGCCAACATTTCATACCGTTTACCGAACAAAATATACGATTTGGTTCGGTAAATAACCGAATTACATAAATTTTACGTAAAAATATTTAAAGGAGGGGGTGGCTATAATTACCCAAACAAGAGGGGTTTTTTCGTAATTTGACCATACATCAGGGGTAGCCGTAATTTGCCCTATTTTTTTTTCTGACAAATTTTAAATTGATATTCCTGCAAATTTCATATGACTTTTTGGTAACATTTATAACATCGTTATTTATGTATTTCAAATTATAGGAAAA